AGAGTGTAGATCTCGCCACTTCCATCTCAACAATACCGCAAAATCTCGACCTTCGGTACACCGATTGCTTCTTGAGATGGCGTGCTCCTTTGGACCGCAACTCGAGACCAAATGACTGACCAACACAAAACAGCTCTTGGAGGATCCTGGGCCGACGAGGTTGAAGACACCTATGGTGAGTCCGCGTGCTTTCTTTTCACCCATCTCCCGCAGCCTCGCTGACCACCACATAGCTGGTGCGTTACTTTGCGCCCGCTGGCCCTTCCCACACTGTCCCACGCATGCTAACCACCTCACAGTTGTCGGCACCCAAGCTCTTCCTGCCACCGAGCGCCGTACCGGCTACGGCGCCGGCTCCAGCACTGGCTGGGGCAGCAACGAGCGCAGTTCGTTGCCCTTCTTTCGTTCCGCTCCTGTTTGCACATGATTAACCCCTTCCTAGGCTATGCCCCGCGCGAGAACTTCGGTGGCCCTCCCAAGCTTCCCGAGAAGCCCCCCTACACCGCTCACCTCGGCAACCTTTCGTACGATGCCACCAACGACACCGTCAACGAATTCTTCGCCGGCTGCGAGATCATCAGTGTCCGCATCATTGAGGACCGTGAGCAGATGCGCCCCAAGGGGTTTGCCTATGCCGAGTTCGCCACTCTCGACGGTCTGAAGAAGGCCCTTGAGCTCGACGGCGAGAACTTCCAGGGCCGTACCATCCGCGTCAAGATTGCCGATCCCCGTGAGTCGCTCCGCTTGCCTCACCTGTAGCATATCATGGCTGACTCCTTTCAGCTCGCAACGATGGACGTGGCGGCGATTCCAACCGTGACCTGAGCGACTGGTCGCGCAAGGGTCCTCTGGCCGACCTTCCCGGTCGTGGTGGAAACGATCGTGGTGGTGACTTTGGAGAGCGCCGTGGTCCTCGCGAGCCTCGTGAACCTCGCGAGTTCGCCCCTGACGATGGCAAGGTTCGCGACTTTGGCAACTGGGAGCGCAAGGGCCCCCTGGCTCCTGCACCACAGCCGGAGCGCTCTGCTCCCCGCGAGGGAAGCCACTCTGGAGAGGCTGGTCTCGGACCCCGTTCCGAATCCTACCGCGGTGGTGACCGCCGACAGTCTCCTGCCACTTGGGGTGAGGGCCAGAACCTCCCTCCCCGTCAGGAGGGTCAGCGTGCCCCTCGCCACGACAGCGTCGACCGCCCGGAGCGCGAGCCCCGCGAACCCACCGCTGCCGAGAAGGATAACCAGTGGCGCGCCGGCATGCGCCCCGACGCCTCCAAGGAGCAGTCTCGCGATGGCAGCGAGGCCCCCGGCTCCCCCTCGGCTGCCCCCGCTGCGGCCGTCGCCCCCGCTGGCCGTCCGAAGCTCAACCTCGCCAAGAGGACTGTCTCTGAGGCTCCCGAGGTCCTTTCCCCTTCCGCCACCTCCGACGCCAAGGCCAGCCCCTTCGGTGCCGCACGACCTATCGACACTGCTCAGCGCGAGCGCCTGATCGAGGAGAAGAGGCTTCAGCAGCTCCAGGAGAAGCGCGAGGCCGACGAGAAGGCCAAGGAGGAGAAGCGCCTCGCGAAGGAGGCTGCTGCCAAGGAGGCCGCTGAGAAGGCTGAGGAGGAGGCTGTCAATGCCAATGAGGCGCAGACCGCCCCCGAAGAGGCAAAGGAGGCCCCGAAGGAGGGTGAGCAGGTTGACGCCGCTGCTGCCCCCTCTGATGAAAAGATCCCCATCCGATCCAAGGGACCCCGCGAGGGTGCGCCGCCCATCAAGACCCGCCCCTCCGATGGCGGTAACTGGAGGTCGGCCTCCAGCGATCTTAAGTCGCCTCGCGGACCTCCAACCGGACCCCGCCGTGGAGGCGGTGCCCCTGCTCGCGGCGCTCGCAATGAAGGCCCCCGCCCTCCACGAGCCAACGGCTCTCCCTCGAACCGTGGTCCTGCAAGCCCCGACGCTGCTGAGGCTCCCGCTGTCGATGCCGACGGCTGGACCACTGTTGCGCCTGTCAGCAAGGGTCGTCGTGGCGGACGTGCCTAGGTGGCATGGTGTAGATGATACCCCTACCCGGCCCGATACCCGAAATGACTTTTCTCACCCCTCTTACGACGCGAGGCTTCTCAGTCCCTTACCCTCAAAATGTGCTTTGTCAAAAGCGTTCGCTGGATGCTGGTCCGCCCCAACAGAGCGGATCGGATTTCGGGCGAAAGAATGTCTGTCTGCCCTTGGCAGTTTGATCTTCGCTCGAATATCGACTGCGCCAAAGCTGCAGACGCCTTACGGCCTTCTACGGAGTTATGACGACGGAAAAAGGTTGCCCGCATCCTCGGACGCGTTTTTCCCCTCCCTTATCACGGCCCTTGTTGCTTTTTGATTCGACTGCTCGCTTTTTTCTTTCTTGGCCCCTCCCGCTTGCATCTGACGAAAAAGAACCCTCTCTCCAACTCACGATGCGCGACATTAGACGGTGGAATGCTATGGGAGGGTTTGGCACTGGCTTTTTCTGATCTTGTTTCCTCCCCCCTCCCGCGTCGCACTGGTCTGATCATGTTCCCTTTTTGTCCGGTAGGCCGACTGGTGTTGCCCGTGGACGAAAAGAAAAAGAGGAGGCCATGTTCCTTCTGCTTGATTCCTGTTTGTTTTTTTCCTTTCCTCTCTCGGGGTTTCTCAGCGGCGTCACAGGCCGATGGTTATTAGCATGGCGAGGGGGGGGATCGGGGGCAGGAAACACGGGAGGCGTCGTTTAGGCGAGGAATCTAGTGTACGCGGGGCCTTTGGGAGGCTCATCGATAGACACGGAACCTACCCGCGAGACAAATGATGACAGTTGAACTTCACAAGTTTGCATGGTGACACTGATGACTACAGTGTTGAGAAGGATATCCTCGCATTCCTTTTTTTCTTCTTTTACCTAAGTCTGGCTATCGAAAGAGCATTTCACTACCTCTTCAGCGTCTTCTGCTTCTGCGCATCGGTCGCCACGTTGCGACCCTCAACGAGGAGGCCCTTTTTCTTGCGGATCGCGTCCATGTACCTCTTGGCCACGTTCTCCTTGTCACCAAACTCGCCCAGGTCTTCGAGATCGTCTTCCGTAAAGGGCACCCAGAAGGGGTCCTCGTCCAGAATCTCAAAACCGGCAAAGATGAGCTGCGGCTGCGCGGCGCCCGAGGTCCTCTTGCGCATCTCGTCCGCGAACCCAAACGACTCAGCGACGGGCAGCACAGACGCAATGGTGAAGAAGGGGGTGCCCTCCTTCATGGCCTCGGAGAGGACGCGGCCGCGCCGGCGCGTGAGGACATCGTACACGCGGCCGAGCACCTCTGTCGAGGCCTGGATCTCGACCGTGTAGATGGCGAGCAGCAGGCGCGGCGACCAGTCGAGCATGCCGCTGTGGATGGCGTTGGACGTCGTCTTGAGGACTTCGCCTGTGAGACGGGCGGACGACGTGGGCGCCTCCTCGGTCTCGTGGATCGTGACCTCTTCGATCGTGACGGCGATGCCTTGGACGGGTTCGTGGCAGAGAGGGCCCTGGGCCACGGCGAGCTGGAAGGCGTACGTGAGCTTGTCGGCCAGATGGGCAGGGCGTAGGGACTCGTCGGCAGTGGTTACGGCGACATCGCGGTCCGTGGCATCGGATGCGAACAGATGTTGGAGAATGCCCTCCGAGGTCCCATCAATGAGAAGGTTGGGGCCTGTCCGGCGCGGGCCGAACGCGGCGATTCTTTCAACCGTGTTCTTCCAGGCCTCGCGGCCCTTGCCAGACTCGAGCTGGGCCTGGAGCTGCTCCTTGAATTCGTCTTGCGACAGGGTCTTTCCGGCGGCCACGTCGGTGTCAATGTCGGCCTCATCAGCTTGCGTCTCCTCGCTGGCGCCGTTCTCGACCTTGCGGTCGGTGTACAAGCGCTTGATGCATTCGCTGTTTTTCGAGAGGAAGTCGGTGACCTTGGCAGGCAGGGGCCGAATACGGAGCTTGACGGACACCTGCTTGGACGATGTCACACCGACCACGACACCACGGCCGAGGTCCTTGTTCGCAGGCGGACGCATCTCCTCCGCCTTGACAATAGTCTCGCGGTACGGCACGATGGGGGCGCCAGCCTGGATTTCGCAGTGGGCAAATCGATCTTGGAGATCCGTGATACATCTCTCAAGGTGAAGTTCGCCTGCTGTCAGGAGAACGTGCTCTCCGCTGCTGAACTGCTCGTACTCGGCGCATGGATCGCTCTGCACAAGCAATCGCAGGCCATGGATCATCTTGTCGAGATCAGCAGGGTTGACAGGCTCAAGAGCAACGCGAACAATGGGCTTGCCTAGCGTGTTGACGCCAGCAAGGTTGACAGCGCCTTCCAGTCGACTACACAAGGTTCCAGACTTGAGAATGTGACCCTCCAGTCCTCCAATGCCAAACACAACGCCCGCCGGTACAGAGTCGAGAGCCTCCAGACTCCTGCCCATCAGCATGTATAAGGCGGTCACCGTGATCTTGTGCGGCTCAGGGGAATGTGGATTCGCAGGCGACCACTTGGGAGGTATGACATGAAGCTCGTCGCCGACAGAGAGCGTGCCGGAATACATGCGCGCAAAGCCAATCAGATGCTCTGGGTCCTCTTCCTTCTCTTCTTGCTTCGGAGCGTAATTGTCGAGGTCGACTTCCTCGAGTGCGGTGCCAAGATCGTTGACGGCATTGTCGCCACCGACTGCAGCTTGAGCCCGAGCCGCTTCGGCACGCTTCTTCCGCGCAAGTTCTCGTGCTTCTTCTGGGCTTAGCTGTCCCGCACGTCGCTTGTTCTGTGGAAGTTCGCTTTCTGGGATGGAGACCATTTTACTGACGTAGGCGACGATGGGGTCTGACTTTTCCGTCTTGAAGGACACCATTGCGTCCTTGACATCGTCGCTGACATGATCGCCACCAGGGGACTCCTGAATCATCTCGGGAAGTCTTGCAGCTTGGGCGACTGGCGGTGCAGGCAGTGACTCGATGACAGAGACAAGCAGGGCGGTAGACAAAGGCAGCCATGCGGCGAATACGGCGCTCTGCACTAACCTTGGGTCTCTGCTCCGCATAATGTGAGGGGGCAAAGTCAGGTTGAGGGACTTGGTGATCTTTTCCAGCAGCGCGGGGTCTCCCTTTCCATGGTCTCCGCCTGTTGTGGCCTGGTAGACGGCCCAAATGGGCTCAAGAACAAGCTGCACGAACATGGGCTTGAGGTTGCGGCCCTTGAGATGCTTTGGGCCGAGAATCTTTTTCGTCTTCGGGTCCAGGTAGAAAGAGCCCCAGAGGACTTTTTCCATGATGCCGCGCTTGATTCCCAGCTTCTTCTCGTACAGACTGGCAAATTGACGAACGGTAAATGCCCAGCCGTCTACGGCGCTGCCAAAAATGACATTGTTGCGTTCTGGAGCGAAATAGAGGTCCTCGTCGTCGCGCTCCTCAAATTGAAGCTCGCCGGCGTCATTGATCCTTTCTGCGATGCCAGACTCTTTTTCAGCAGCGGCCTTAACCCGCTCGTCCATCCTCTCGCGCCAGTTGAGATCCTCTTCCATTCTCTCGCCCTGGAAGAAGCTTCCTAGCACAGCGTTGACCTGTTCCAGGAGTTTGCTGAGATGGACATAGGCCTCGTTTGGTGTCATCTTGAGTTCGGTGATGAGTCGGTCAATTTTGTTGAAGACGAGTAATGGCTTCAGCTTTTCGATCCAGGTCTGGCGTAGTACTGTAACTGTTTGACTGCAGACGCCCTCGACAACATCGACCAAAACCACAGCACCGTCGCACAGTCGAGATGCTGTGGAGACTTCACTGCTGAAGTCAATATGGCCAGGTGAGTCGATGAGGTTGATGAGGTACTCCTTGGCTTCCGGTGCCGCATCGGGGGCGTTTCTCCTGAGCATCGAGAAGTAGAGTGAGATGGCGGAGGACTCCATGGTGATACCTCGAAGTTGTTCATCAGGCCTGGAGTCCAAGTAGCGGATCTTGCCCGCGAGCTTTGGTGAAATGATGCCATTTGTGGCGAGGAGAGCGTCTGTGAGCGATGTCTTTCCGTGATCAACGTGTGCCAGGATGCAAATCTATGGCTGTCAGCTGGAGCCTCGACGGACGAGGGAAAGCCCGACATACATTTCGGACATCGCTGGAATGCCTTTGCAAGCTGGCCAGCTTTTCTGATGAGACGACCGGCATTGTGAGTGGGTGCTCTGAGGACGATTCAAAGAGTTTGCTCGCTGAGATGGTGCAAGGGTGCAAGGGGGGTATCAAATGAGCCTTCGTCGCAGGTAGCACTGAACTTGAGAGGATATTGACAAGTGATTCGCCGATATATAAGCTCCTTCGCCGAGAGATGGATTGTGTAAGTAAGAAGTAAGATCCAGGTTATCGATGGATCTTGTCGTGACTAATTCACCGAATGCATGTCATGCGCCTGATGGCAGCCCAATAAGATGCGTTGGTCAACAGCCCTTCCAAGCACATAAGAGTCACCAAAGACTAAGAAGTTGAAAAAAATGAGCCCTGCAGTGTGGCCCGTTCTGATCCAAGAAATGGTGGTAAGGCCGGATGGCGAAAATAGTCGTGTTTCTCATGATAAAATACACAGGATGAGCCAGAGTGACGACAGCAACTGACCCCGCCATTTACCCCTCTATCCGCGTTAAAATCTTCTTCTGCATAGGTGCATGGCCGGCAGGTGCAATCCCTGCCGAGGGGCACTGTGGCTGAAGCGGACGCCCCGCTCTTCATTGGCTCCAGCCACTCGCTAGCAAATTTCTGGGCAACGGTAGAAACCAGCCTATGGCGCCTGAACCCTAATACCGCTCAAAACTTCGCACGCCAGATTCGCACGTATCGCCGCCCGTCGCCAGATACCCCCCCCTCCTCCTCCGACCCGACTCCCGACGACTCCCCCCTCTCCCCCCGCAAAGCCAGCCAGAACCCATCGAACGAAACGCAGGCTTCTTCGACAAGATGAGCGGCTACCAGAACGGCGATCGCCGCAACGTGGGCGACGACAGCGATGTTGAGGAGGAGGCCCTTGTCGCCGACTACAAGGAGCAGGTCCAATATGAGGATGGTGCCGAGCTGGAGCAGGTCAACTCGATGACCATGGCCCAGCAGACCGACGATATTCAGTCGCGCCTCGCCGCCGCTGCTCAGCCCCTCGACTTCTCTGCTCCCCTCGAAGTCAAGTTCCAGAGCTACGACGCCTACTGCAGCCTGTTCCACTTCATCCTGAACAGCGAGGGACCCGTCGACCTCGAGCCGCCATCAGTAGGTTTTCTCTTGTCTGGAAAGGGGTAAAAATAGCATTCGTGTCGGACTGCATGGCTGACTCTTTTCCAAGTACTACTGGGCGTGGGACGTCATCGATGAATTCATCTACCAGTTCAACTCTTTCTGCTCCTACCGCATGCGTCTCGCAAGGCAGAACAACAACGAGGAGGAGCTCCAGGTTCTTAAGGAGAACCCCAACACGTGGGGCTGCTACAGCGTGCTCAACGTTCTGTACTCGCTCATCCAGCGGTCCCAGATCACCGAGCAGCTCGGCGCCATGAAGCGGAACGAGGACCCCATGGCCGTGGCCGGCGAGTACGGATCCAAGAACCTGTACCGCATGCTGGGATACTTCTCCATCATCGGTCTCCTGCGGGTGCACTGCCTCCTCGGCGACTTCAGCCTCGCCCTCAAGACGCTCGACGACATTGAGCTCAACAAGAAGGCCATGTTCGCGCGCGTCATGGCGGCCCACTTCACCACGTACTACTACGTGGGCTTCTCCTACATGATGATGCACCGCTACTCGGATGCCATCCGCATGTTCAGCCACATCCTCGTCTACGTCTCGAGGACCAAGAACTTCCAGAAGAGCGCGCAGTACGACTCGATCACCAAGAAGAACGAGCAGATGTACGCTCTCATCGCCATCTGCGTGGCCTTCCAGCCGACGCGTCTCGACGACACGATCCACACGGCCCTGCGCGAGAAGTACGGCGACCAGCTCCTGAAGCTGCAGCGCGGCGGCCCCGAGTCGCTCCCCATCTTCGAGGAGCTCTTCCGCACGGCGTGCCCCAAGTTCATCTCGCCCACGCCCCCCGACTTTGAGAACCCCGAGGCCAACATTGACCCGGTCGAGCACCACCTCTCCATCTTCATGGACGAGGTTAAGACCAACATGTGGAGCCCCACCATCAAGTCGTACCTCCGCCTGTACACGACCATGGACCTTAACAAGCTGTCGGGCTTCCTCGACGTCAAGCCCGACGAGCTCCGCGCCTGGCTCCTCGTCAGCAAGCAGCGCACCAAGCAGCTGCGCTGGTCCGAGAACAGCCTGCTCGACGGCGACCTCGTCAACGTCAGCGACCTCGACTACGCCATGCAGAACGTGAGTCAAGCCCGTTTCGGAGACGGCACTCCTGTAAGAACGAGAGCTAACCAACGACAGGACCTCATCCACATTTCCGAGGCCAAGGTCGGACGCAAGCTGGTGGACTGGTACCTCCGCAACCTGTCGCGCACCTACACTTAAGTCAGTGCCGTCATGGGATACCCGGCACGAATTTTACGGTCTAGATCTGGGGTGGGAGAGAAGAGGGGACCTGCGAAAGAAGGGTTCGCCGAAATGAAAAGGGCTGGCACGCACGCGGAGAGGGGCTCTCATCGGAACCCACAGGTGCGAAGTGGAAGGATTGCTCGCATTGTCAGGCGTTCAGGCGTCACAGTCACCCAGGACAGGAAAAATGGGGAAGGGGAAATACAGGCCGGCAGGGGGGGCTACCCAAAAAAAACTAAATTGGCGGCCCTTGAGACAGAGAGAGAGAGAGAGAAAGAGCTGATGTTTATGTCAAGAGTAACGCAGAGAATGGATTTCAGGGCCCCCCTCCTCATGTCCGGGGTGGCTTTGTCTCAGAAGACGGCCTGCTGCCGTGCTTCGTCTGGCTCGTGGCATACGTGTGCCTCTGGGGCGGTGCCAAGTCGCCAAGCCTACCCACCCCGTTCGATTGAGCCAGATGGTCTTTGAAAAGAGCAGGCAGATCGACGGGGGGGCAATCGGCGACGCGCTGGCGATGTTCTATTCAGAGGCACTTGACGAGGCGTGGAACTCTCGAACCCCCCCGACGGCTTGGCGGCTTGGCGTTTGCGTGTCGCCCAGGTGGCGAGCAGTGCTTGGCGATGCGTTGATCTACGACGACTCAGATGTCGTGATGAAATGAACAACACATGATAACATATTTTTTCGGGATATAATTTCGACGTGATGTGATGGTGGTCGATCGTGCGGGCGAACTTCGGTGCTCTATGCGCAGACCACGCCATGACTTGACACCCAGGCAAGACAAGAAGCAGAGAGATAGATGGACGGATGAAAAGAGGGACGTCGAGTCAGAAGCGGTACGTCGGGAGGGCGGGCCAGTCCAGTCCCCCTCCCCTAGTGGCTTGCTTGCCTTATCACTCGGGCAGACAGGTTTGGTCTGCCCTCGGGCAAAGGCCGTCACTGGTGCAGGCTCCCTTGCATGATCCATGAGATAGAGGTGCAGAAGCGCGACTGGGGAAGCTGCTTCTTTTTCCGTACAAGCAGGAGAGTCTGTCTGCTCACCGCCCTGGTCTGACGGAGGGGGAACCAACCATACCCTTCTGGCCAAGGGATTTCACGTGCGGGCGGGCGTGGTGCAGTCGTTGGTAGGAACCCTCCGTGGCGAGACAAACGTCCAGTCCATGTCGGCCGCCAGGAAAGTGACATGGATGGCTGGCGACAGGGTCATTGTGCAACGTGGGGTTCAGCTAGGGGCGGCGACCTGGGCCCTTTGAGGGGCTGATCAAGGCGGTTTCCGTCCTGTATATGTTTACTTTTTTCTCGGAGACTGTTCTGGAGGGGGGCGTCACACCAACAGGGCAAGATGTTTTGCGGTTGGGGAGGGGGGCGATTCGTTGTAGAGTCTTCTGAGAAATCGAAAAGGTTGTTATCGGGAAGGGGAGGGGGCCCTGACGACACGACTTTGGGTTTTTCATGACGGGACACGTCGGCGGCGGTGAGGCTGACTGCAAGCACTGTACAATGTCACACGGCAGGCAGTTTAAGCATCGCGGACGTGGCGTAGTGACGGCGGGGATGGCGTTGTGAGGTTGTCTCGGGGTCTACGGCATCTGAGGCATCTGGTGAGATTGCTGCAGTCTTCCGAGGTGGGTAAGATCATCGGAAGGTTCGAGCAACAAGCTGCGGGATGTCATGACGATAGTAGGCGTGAACACGGGAGGCCATCGAGATGGTAGATGATGTAGCAGTCATGTGTAGGTACATGTAGGCCGGCGAGGATGGCCAGGATGGCGCTTGACAGATGAGTCGTACCAGGCTTGGCGGCCAGCTGGACTGTTTGGATATTGCCGTTTCGCGTTGCGGACTTGGGTCCCACGGCCAGGCGACTTTTACTTCTCTGAGCATGCCACAACGGCGGCCAGCCCAGTTCCCCGGACCCGAACGAATGGGCCGCTGTTTGAGAGGCCAGCAGAGAGACATGGCTCCTCCCCCCCCCCCCCCCCGTCTCCCCTCGAAGCAGACGAGATGAGCAATGCGGACAGAAGGGTTTCGCTTGGCTGTTTTGGGCACCATTGACATTTCTGTTTGGCTCCCAACTAGGGGGTCAGGGTCACCGTCCGGTCCGGGCCCCCTTGCCGTCGAGCAACAGGTCGGCCCCAGGCTGCTTCGACGAGCAGACAGGGAGAGGGAGGGTGGCCAGAATTGTCACCGGCGGCCAGGCGGACGGTCCCGAGCAGGGGTGGCCTGGACACTGGTGCAGATTTCCGCCTGTTGCGCGTCCATCTTTCTGGTCCGTGGTCTCTCTCGTGTCTCTGGGCGGTACATGGTTGAGATGAGCAGCGACGATGATCGTGGGCCGTCTGTGAAGTCTTAACTGGGCTCACGGGCCCGAGTGGATGGGGATGTGGTTTCCCTCCTCTCCTGCTTCTTCTTTGCTTTGCTCTGCTGCTGCATCGTGATCATCATCCACCACCCGCTCGTTTTCGTTCCTATTAGCCTTTGGCGTAGCACTG